TAAATACTTTACTCGCAAAAACCCTCTCCCTGGACCATTCCCTTTTCCTTTGGTAGGGAATCTTTTTCAAATAAGCACTGATATTTCTGTGTGGCCAGGTCAATTACAAGAAAAATATGGTGACTTCTACGAAGTTTACATAGGGCCCCTACGGCTAATTTGGCTCTGCAGAGAAGATTTAATTAGTAAAATGATGAGTCCATCAAATAATAGTAACTTTCATAACAGAGTGAGTGCAAACCATGATGGTATGAAAGAAATTGGACTACTTGACACTGGACTTTCTTTCAACTCAAATTTCAAGACTTGGCAGTATTATCGAAGGTTTTTTGGAAAAACAATGTCTAAAGCTTCGTTTTTGGTACAAGCACTGGATTTCACCCAAGAAGTGCTTAATGGGATGGAGAATTATTGGGAGGAACTCGGAGAAGACATAACATTAGAATTTTCGCGATGGGCAAAAAGATATTTTGTTGATACTTTATTTCTTATAGCCACCGGTAAACCGGCACGTTCTTTAGCTAGTTATTATAACGAATTATCAATTGACAAAAAGGTCGATGTATCAGAAAATGCGCTAAAGGAAAGTGAAGTCCTCTTGCAAGCTATTGAAGACCTTTCTGCGAGCGGTATACACTTCATGATATTTCCAAAGTTTATTAGAGACTTTCCGGGAATTAGACTGTATACCCAAAGATTAAAGAATAGTATAAATTGGCTAAGAAAAAAATCTCTTGATATTATTAAGGCTAGAAGAGAAGATATCGAAAAAACACCCAAGGACCAAGAACTTACTCCTAATATTTTAACAATGTTTTTAACTATAAACACATCGCGTGATGTTACCGAAAGTATTGTCGATAGTCTACACGACAAACCAATGTCTGATGAAGAAATTGGTAGTCTTTTCTTGGAAATCCTACTTGGTGGAATTCATACGGTAACTAGCTTAAATGCCATGTTTAATCATTGTTTATACAGCATTAATATATGCATTTTTTATAAATTAGAGCTCGAATACTATCTGCTACCTAATTTATTACATATCCCACTATCCAAAAGTTAAAGAACGCTTAATAGAAGAAATCGATCGAGTTTTGGGAAAAGACTTAGGTTATAAAATTACTCTTGAAGATATAGGAAAACTTGAATATTGTGAAGCAATTATTCATGAATGTAACGTAATATATTACTTGTGTAAAATTATTTGTTATTAATTTCTAAAAATACGTTTATTTCAGGTTCGCGAGTAGTTACCCTTGTTCCTGTATTATATAAAAAAAATAATGAGCCAGACGAGATTGGTCGTTTAATGTTTCCTGCGGAAACACAATTCTTTATCTACTGTCAAGGTATTCATAAACATAAATCTTTATGGACAAATCCAGAAGAGTTTAACCCAGAAAGATTTATTGAGAATCCGGAAAGTAAAAAGCATATTTATACTTTTGGTGGTGGACAGAGAAAGTGTAAGTCATTATTTATCGGTAATAATAATGTAGGCACTATTTTATTAAATATACGGTACCTTTATTTTTTTCTATAATAGGCCCTGGAAGGAATTTAGCAATGCTACAGTTAAAACTGAGTTTAGCTTCATTATACAGAAAGTATGATATTAAGCTTGTTGATAATAACGCACCGATCAAGTATAGTGCCGCCGCAGTTAAAACTTGCAATGAACTAAAAATTCGAGTCAAAAAAAGATAATACAATTTATTCGAAATTTTAAATTCGATTATGAAAAAACAGTTACGGTTTTGATGGTTTTTATTAATAAATAGCAGTGTTGTGGAAACTGCCCTACCGTTATAATCGTTATATTGGTTCCCAGGAAACCTGTATAAAATGGAGAAGAAAAAAGGAGATTTAATATTTGAATGAAATGTTCAAACCATTTGTTCTAATTATCATAGAAATATAAAATATACAGGATGGTGCAAAAAAAATAATTATATTTTTATAAACAATTTTTTTTAAGGTGGCTAAATGCAATATAATGTAGTTTTTATTGATATGTGTAATATTATGAGTATATTCAAAGGACTTGTACAAATTTGTATTTATATATTTCTTACAGATTATTACTTACACTATTATAGGAAAATAAGAGATAATTCATCACTTGATTCTATATTGGGTATTGTAATAAAAATAGAAGGGATAAAAAGAATAAAAGGGATAATTAGAATTATTAGAATAAAAAAATCAGTTAAATTTAATTGTTTTTTTTGTTTACAAAACAAAAAAAATACTAATAACAACATGAATTATATAATTAAATAGTACAAAATAAATATATCTAACTGCTATATATAATATTATAATCAAAGCTATATATATAAATAACAGATTGTTATTTCCCACTATTACGATGCTTTATATTTAATAACTAGAAACCTATTATTTTTAATAATTTCTTTTGTAATTTCAAATAAAAAATTATAAAGAGAAAAATTTAATTTAAATACATTTAGTTATCTTATTATATAAACCTTAAATTATAACTTTTTTTAATTTTTGATTTATATAAGTTATGATTCTTTTTATTATCTATAACAAATATAATTTTTTTTAACTTTTTCTGTTAATCCTCTTATCAACTCAAAAAACAGACATTTTAAAGTAAATTTATATTTTTTTGTAACAAAGTCTATATACTTTTCTTAATAATATCACTATTTAAAGACTCTAGTCTCTTATTACTTGTTTTTTTTTCTTTTAAATAAATTTCTAGTATTTTTACAAGTAAATATAAAAAAAACTACTTATACAATCAAAGACAAGAACACTTTACTAAAAAAAAAGAACTTATAAAAACAATATTTTTCTTTTTTCTTTCAAAAATTAAAGACTCTAGAAAAAACAACTATAGATTTCTGAGACTTTTTTTTATTTCTCTTAAGCTTTTTACCTATTCTTTTAAACATAAAAAATTTTACCTATATTAATTTGATCTTGATTTTTTGATTACATCAAAATTCCAGAATAATAATTGGTTCAAAATTTGAATTGATTAATTTACATATAGCAAGAAATATAAACAAGACATAAATTTTATATATTTCATTCTATGCAACTTTTATCTAATAATGTGATTGATTATAGCAGAAAAAACAAGATAATAATATATATTTTTTTAATAAAAAAAATAATTTATATTTTTAATAAAAAAAATAATTTATATTTTTCTCTTTTCTCTTGAACTGGTTTGTTTCTTTTTAAGATAAAAAAAAAGTTTTATTCCAATCCAATAATAAGCTAACTCTATTGTTGATTATTTCAAAAATAGTTAAAGAAAAAAACTATTTATGAATTAAATGAAATTATAATTTTTTTGAGAATTGGTTAAAAAAAAAATCACCAAACAATATACTAATCTCTTTAAAAATTTGAAATTTTTAAATATAAAGTTTCAAGAAATATTTTTCTAAAAGTGTTTTTAAATATTTTTAATTAACAATTAGAATAATAAAATTGAATAAATATTTAATTGCAAATAGTTAAATTAGATATTGTTCAAAAAGAATTTTTGTTTTATTAGTATAAATTTTCTTTTTCTCTTATTTTATTTTTTTATTTTATTTTTTTTAAAAAAAATTTTTTATTTATTTTTATAAGATCATATTGATTATATAGAAATGATAGTTTTAAATATAAGTTAATCATAATATTTTAGATTGATAAAAAATATTAGAATAAAATTAATTATATTTAAAGATCTTAAGCTTATAACAGATATGCTATATAGTATTTATAAGTTTAGGCTTATTATAATATTTCTTAATATACTGTATATGTACAATATGTTAAAAAAAAATTTGAAATTATATTTATATTTATAATTTTATAAATTATAATTTAAATTAAATAAAATTTTAAAAATAATTTTTCAAAATATAAGAAACAAGTTTATTTATAATTATTTTTATTGATTTATTATTGTTATTTATTAACATAAATATTTAAAGTAAAAAAAAATTTTTTTTAAAATTTTTTTTTTTTTTTTAGAGGCAAAGCACATTACATGCAACAATTTTTATTAACTTATGAAAAAAGTTACAACTGTACATGAAGAATCTGATTAACTATTTCTAGCTATTTTAATCCTAATACATCCTCTAACTAACTTGATTGTACTAACTTACACCAAGTAGGTGGGTTTGTATGTCAGGCGTGGACTATTCGAAGGGCATGTATCTGTTAACTGTCACTAGAGTCCTTATCACTTTCTCACCTCCGGCTCATACTTTTGCGATATTCATGGGTTTACTTCTTTATACTTCCTAGTAAATGCTCCAAGAGTTTCCTAAGGTTAGTACAAACTACCAAATCTGGGGGTTTTTCACCAAGTGGGACGTGACTCCTGAATCTCCCAGTAGACACTCCTTAAGATTCTTAGTTGGCATAGGCTGCCAAATCTAGGGACATGAATGCCAAGCAGGGCGCAACTCCTGTAAAGTGGCCTTGAACATCACTTCGCACCAGTGATGTCCCTATAGTAATCATCTTCAAAGTTGCCTAATCAAGTTAGTAGGTTTTCTTTTATAGTCTCGTGGACTATAGGGGAAGGGAAGCAACCAATGTGAGAACCGGGAAATACACCAAACATCGTGCGATCATCGTACCACCAACTGGACGATCGACGTGCCACGACACCTTAACTGGAGATCACAATCTTAACACACACTGAATCAGTGTATGAAACAGCTTCGCATGAGAAACAGCACATATTAGGTTACGATGCCAGATACTATGTGGTACTGTTCAACTGCCTTCACATGGAGTTGAACCAGTATCTTGTGATCCGATCTGTGGAGCACTAACCACTGTGCTATGCACCCACAGGTCTTTTTAAAATTTTATAATTTATAAATATAAAATATATATATATAATACAGTTAAAGAATAATAATTTTAAATATCAATAAAAGTCTTGCAAAAAAACTCTTTCCTAAATATATTCACATCGCAAAAAATTACTAAATTAGGAAACTCCAAATTTCTTTGTGGAAAAAAAAAGCAAAAGATCCTGAGAAGCCCTCTCTTCCCAAGAATTAAATAGTTAATCATGAGCACGTCCTTCTTGAAGTACTTGTCACCAACATTAAAAGTCCTCAAGCCATTATTATCTACAAAAACACCAAAACAAAAAAATTTCTGCCTCTACACTTGCCCAATCAATCCATCTCCCCAGGCTGGGAAACTGCCCTAAAGTATGAATAACACCTGTTTGCTCTCTACAAAGTGAACTAGAAAGTGCCAATATCATTAGTGTTACCTTTGAGGAATGTCAAAGAATCAGATTATCACCTATACCCATACTCGTTACCATAATCCTGTCAGAACCAATGCCTCTGGAAGACCTAAATTCCTTTATGAAATTCCAACACACCTTCAAACTAACAGATGAGAACAGAACAGACATCATGAGAGAAGTTATAAAGCATGACCTCAATTATGGCCTGCACATCTCCTGGGAGAAACTTAATATTAACACTTTCAAAGAAAAAAAAACTTTTACTCTTGAAAGAAAAACCAAGACACCTTTACCTCCACCAAACACACCTGCACCCACAGAGAAAATGATCGATGACAATAGCATGCAGTCAGATTCTTCTCCTGCGACAATCACTGCATCAACCTCTGAACCTGTACCACCCATTGACAATAATCCAGCACACAATTCATACGAATCTGAAACAAGTAACGCATGCACTCCTGCATCTCCACATGAGAATAATATTAACTCAAGTAATACACAAAACACCACTGAAATGGAAATCGATGATCTTTCCATAAGGGCTGAGCCACACCTGCAATTCACAACTAACTCTTTCTATTGGGCTGATGAAACTGAAGCCACACTATCAATCTTAACCAATAGCCAACCCAGCAGTGACATTCACAGCAACACTCTAGAAAATGAACAAATCAAGATTCTCACGTATTGCAAAGAGATAACTATTTGCCCCAGAACCCCAGAGAATATATTCAAACTCTTTATCAAGTTCAGGGATGACTCCAAAGGTCTCCCCAGATCATCACTTAGATTATCTTCTCAAAAATTGGCTATAGAGACAGAGACTTTTTCAGAATCTTCACAAACAGTGAACTAATCAAAGAACAACACCAACGTAAATATGAAAAAATTGAGAATGAGTTTAAAGCAAACTACCTTAAAGCAAACAATATTGGGTACATCACCAGAGCTACCAAGAAAAAAATCCACGTAATTATCAACAAAGCACTTTTTGCAGCCTATCTCAGATCAACTGACCTTACAAAACTAAAATTCTGACAAGTTGTCCAACTTTTGGAATATGGATTCTACTTCTTTTTCGACCCTGCACTTGCTAAAATTGACTATCAAGAATTGTATAACAAGTGTGAAGAACACATTAAAATGAAACTACCTAATCTTCTTGAGTCACCTAGTGACATCCCGGCCTCAATTAAGATCAAGCTACCCAAAGCCATTTCCATAACCTCACCAAAATTCACTAGAGAAGTGGCAGAGTGTCTTAGAGCATACTACAACTTTAATTTATTCCCACCTTCTTTTTTTATACAAAGGCCAGACCTCCTAGAGAACCCAACCAATCTAAAAAAAGAACTTCATGGCATCTTTATCCTCACAAGCAGAGCTGACTTGAGAAACTTGCGTGAACTCGTTGGCAAATTGAGAGACCACTATTATGTTCCAAGTAAACTTCCCCAAGCTTACTTTAACCTTCCTTCACTCAAACAATCCCTTCCTCCATCCTATACAAACCTTCCTGAATATCTCCACTCTTACTTTCCTGTTGACAATGACCCAGAAAGAATACAAGAAGTAGTTCAAATTCTGAAAGACAATCTCTATGTGGTGAAAAAGTTGCCACAAGACTTTATCAAGCCAAAAAGACCTCTTCCACCAGTCCATTGGTACAATGAAAACAATGGCAATGTCTTACCTATTATTGAACAAGATAAAGTTAAAGAATTCATTAAACAGCTCAGAAGCAAATTCTTCTTCAAACTCCCGCTAAGTTCTGAATAGATTAAAGAAAGCCTCGTCCAATCAGAAAAACCTATCCTTCCAGCCAAGTTCTCACAGGTTGAAGAGGAACTAGGCATCTTCAGTGACAATCTCAATAGAAGTCATCCAGAATTTGACCTGACAATCAGAAAAATCAAAGACAATTATTTGAGAGAAATCCCATAAGAATGGATCTCATCAATTCTACCTGATTTCTCCAACTTAACCAAGGCACAAGTAACACTCAAATCACAAAATATTATACTATCTCTTCCTATAATCGAGGACAAAACCTTTACTAACAAAATCAAACTCCTCAAGAAAATCTTCCACTTTGAGAAATTACCCAATGAATTTGTAGCTGAACCAGAGTCACCTGATCCAGACCTGACTCTTCTTCCCAAACTTACATAATCATATGTACAAT